ATAACTTAAGTCTACCTGTCCTGATTTTAAAGTAGAAAACTGTACATACTGTCAAGCATGGTAAGACAGCCAGCAATACTAGAATGGAATGACATATAAAGACAGTGAAGAGCTACCTTCATAGTGGTACAAAGCATCTAAATAAGTTTAATCTTTATTCAAATAGAAACATGTTTTGGGGACATCATGGGCAAACTGTGTCTTTGCCAGGAACGCCGTCCAACCACCTTTCAACTCTGAGCAGCCTTATTGTATTTGTTGGAGCAAAACAATCCCGCAGCATGACACCATGTTTTAGGAAGGGGACAAGGTATTTTGGCCTATGTAGGTTATTTTGCATGAAGTCCAAAACGTTTAGGTTTTGGTCTCATCTGACATGATCTTCTTCTATGTAGTGCTAGAGGATCAAAGCAAGAATATTTTGATTAAATCCTTGCTGAACCATTTAGTTGCAAAAACTGGCCTAAACTAATATTGCATATTATTTTACTTATATCACTGAATTACACAAATCCTGCTACTACCAACCCCAGTGTTATCGTATTCAGCTGGAAATATAAATTACCACAAAACATGAGGACTTTTTATTTGCTTTTTGTTCTTGTAATTCAATTCTAGTTTATTTGTACAGTGCCAATTCACAACACATGTAATCTCAAGGCACTCTACCAAAACAATTCAATCACATCATACAGTCAGATTGGTTCAAAGTTTTCTATCTAAAGAAAACCAGGTGATTTCATCGACTCATTGACTCAAAGGTAATCCCGCACACCAAGCATGCTTTTGTTGACAGTGGAGAGGAAAACTCTCTGAGGAAGAAACCTCCATTAGAAGCAGGCTTATTGTGAGCAGTAATCTGCCGACGCTGAATGGGGTTCAAGGAGACAGAGGCCGACATTTAAAAAAAGAGGCAGAGTTACAAAAGGCAACTGTCAATCAGCTCCACAGGCGGCCCCGTCCAGAAAACACAGCCAGGCAGATGAGTTCTGAGCGAGCTCCCATGCCAGAGGATAGAAGAGAACACATACAGTTAGGCACAGTCAGAGAAATAAGACAACACTAAAAAACAGGCCAAGCTCCAACATCTAGAAACTAAGGTATTGATGGCTGCAGCACAGCTAATATTTCGGTATAGGATGGTGTCACAGCCAAACAGGGACAGATCAGATAAAGATAATATCAAGAGAAAAAGCAGAGAGGGCATAACAATAGAGATTGAACTAACAAATACCACAGAATGGGGAGACAGAATGAACCAGAATGATGAAAAGAGGGTCCCTATGTCCTCCCATAGTCTAAGCCTATAGCAGCAAAAATGGAGAAAATAGCTTGGACTAACCTAAATATTATGGATGAGGTATAAGAAAGGTAAAGCCATACTGGGGCCAATTGTAGGAAAAAGTTATTCAATTATGCAAACCAGTTAAATAAAAGACAGTTATGTAATTCACTTGGTCTGGACTTCATTATCTTTTCAAAGATGAGAGAGAAGACAGTTCATAACACACAGCTCGATGCACTGCCCCGCTCTGACTGGACACAATTTCTCTCACTAACTTAAGGACTGCAAAGGGGAGCAGTGAAGGTTTCCCCACAGATTTAACAAAAAACAGGTTACAGACATTTTAGGAAAGAGTTCATACTTTGAAAAAAAAAAAACCCTGAGGAGAAAAAGAGTGTGGCCTGTTATGGGAACTATTGTTTTCTGTTCCAAACAATCCCTAATAGAAAAACCAACAACTCCTCTCAGACATTGTGTGGTGTTGCAATCGTAAAGTAAATGCAGAATCTGCACTCATAAATCAATATACAGTATGTAAGGGAAAAACATAGGAAATTGAGTTTTCAGACCACACAATTGCGTGAAAACATATATGTTACCCTTTAACCTTCCCTTTACTAATGCCAAAAAAAATAGTTTGTTATCAACTTTTATTTTGTATTCACTACTGGAATAGATGTTTGATTATTAGAGTGCCAGAAAGGATTTGGTAGTTTCTTTCAAGGGCTTAAACCCATATGCACAACACTTTTGCTCAACCGGCATATTAATTCAGTGCCATATAACGGAAAATAAACTACATTTCAAATAAATACCTACAGCGATCAAACTGACCAATCAAATACTTTGGAATTAATTTTTATTAAGTAGTGGAGATACTTCATTTTCAAACTGCGGTACTACTATCACCAAGCGTTCTTGCTGTCTCACCAGTTTTAAATTTGGTATTGACTCTCTGCTATTTAAATAGAATGTTTTTGAATCTTCCAAATTGAACTGTTGTGAAAAGCTGAAAAGCAGACCCAGCTAAAAAGATGAGTACAATAGTTTGAGCTCTTTAGGATTTTATGGCTCCAGCCAGAGAATACGAAAAATAGAAGTGCATGGAAAAGTATTTTGAGTTCATCTGTTGAAACTAAATGGAATAATGATTTAGTACAAAAAGCCTCAGTGACATAGACTCTAACAGTGTCAAACTGTGAGGAGATGTGGCAAAACTTATATGTAGACAGAGCAGAAAAAATAAGAAGTAATTTAGCTCTGAGAGTCAGTGAGTGATATGGTGGTACCCCTACCTAGAAAACCAGAGAACCGCTAACCTATATTGTTTGCTTCTTGTCATGGATGGAAACAAAAATAGATTTTCCATGTTTTTTCTTGAATCTGGTCAAAATGTTGACCCTCTTTTGTGAGATGGCACCTCGATGTGCTTCATTTATCTGGCTCACCTGTTACTCACTGGGTACACACACTAATAAAATCCATTAGCAGCTCCATCACTCTATGCTCTGGTGGATAATAAACAAAATGACAGTCACATCTCATTATCTGAGTCAGTGACCTTTTATCTTCCGTGATAAATGTAGGTGGAGATGGAAAAACACATTTGTCATTTGCAAGTAAACTAATAAAATCCCACTATCTTCTCTTAGTTAGTGTTAATTGCAAATATGTCACATTGGATTCCAATCAAAGGTTTTATTTCCTGTCAGGCTTTATTATGATGCCTTTTATTTCAGGTTGGGATA